AGTGTATCATGGTTATATTGTATGCATTAATATTATAATTTAACTTTCAACAATGTAACTTGTTTGTTTGGACATAATAATATGATCCGATTCCCCTTGAGAAAAAATCTGTAGGTATACACATAATACATGTCGAGAGTTCACGTCATCGTTGGGTCGTTTTCTCGACACAAAATCGTCAGAATAATAGATCCAAAATACATAATATAGTTCCTGTTTACTCTAATAAACGTCACGGATTAAGGTGAACACGATGTAAAATATATTATGTTATTTTATGATTGAGACGTATGGATTACCTAGAAATCTGGGGAAAAAAATTGTATTCGACGCGATCTCGTCAACACGAATCAAGGGCGGAAATTCTAGGTGTGTACTCTAATATTATAAAATAATATATATCATATTTCTTTAGTAGCAAAGCATGGAATAGCATTTATTTTTAAATAGTTAATTACGATTAGTATATTATCATTATTATTATGGCAACGGCACAGGGTCACATTAATTATAGCGATTAGTCATAATGATATCCTCAAACAAGGAATAAGGGTGTGAGTGAATAGGTGTCGATTTTCTGAAAAAAACAAAGCTATTTCTGTTACTTATTCGGTTGATTTACAGGTCAAACTGTCATTTAAGTCTTTTACAATACATTGAAACACCCTATTTCCGCATAATTTAACACTATCTACTATCGTAACAATTAATTGAATTAAAATGTATATTGTGATTGAATATTATATAATATATATTATTATAAATCGTCAAAACGACGTCATACATTTATTAGTTAAATAATATAAATGCATATTTAAGAAACGCATCGGTATATATATACATAATAATAAAGCAACAGTAACGATTTCGATTAAAATAGACAATAAATATATATTTTGTAATTCGTTATTTTACACGTACAAAATCTCGTACAAAATTAACGCGAGAGCACTACAATACGTTATAAACAATATTTTTAGACAAATATTTTGCTTCCTATTATTAAATTAAAAATGTTATCAATAAATAGGTATACGAGTAAATACTAAAAATACCACTAAAAAATATAAATTTAAAAATTGTAGCTTATTAAAATATTGAATAGCTATGTTTTAAAATTTAATCTATTAATATTTTTTCAACTTATGTGTATAGTATAATAAATATTTGAGTATTTAATGCGTATTTTAAAGTAGGTTCACTACATATATATATAAATATGTTAGGTTCAGTACAGATGATCTATTTATTGTGTTAGGTATATACACATATCACTTCGTTCTAGTCGCATATCTATAAATGAACCTTTACTATAAAAAAAAATACTCTTTAGTTGTTTAACGAACTTCATGATTCCCAAAAACTTTCTCGGAATTATGATGATGGAAATATTTATACCTCTTATGGAAACGAAATACGCGTCAATATTCTTCATCATCGGTCATCGTGTCTGACCGGACTGTGACCATCAAGAACGTTGTGTGTTGATAGTTATTAATTATTATTAAACGACCTGTACGGCTGTACGCGTAGGTATTCGTGCTATACTGACTTTATAAAAATGGTTAACTTCTTAAATAGGTATAATTAATTTAGCTTATTTTCAGCGGTCGATTTTAATTATAACCGCTAAGTAATAATAACATATTGAACTCAGTTAGGGGTGTTTATGTGCGAGCTAGCTGGATACAACGCATTACACAAATTTATCCTCTTCCGGACCAATGAAAAAGTGCCATAACCTCAACTTTATCCAGATGCATTATGAAGTAGTTGCACATTATAAACAATGTTGAGTGTATTATGAAATAGGATATTAGAAGAATTTGTAAATTCGTACAATTATTGTATCATATGTAATCAGCGCCATCATCGTCGGTAAGCTAGGTTCGCAGATTAAAAACCTATGAATTAATATTTATTATACATCTAGGTATCACTTAAACGAAATAACATATTAATAGATTGTCACGTGTCAGGTGAATGTTAAATATTTTTCAAAAGATTTGTTGTTTCCGGATTCAAAAACAGCATGGTGACCGACGCCTGTTATATCATAATAGTCGAGTACCATACTCGCGTTTATTGGAAAATTTTTAATTCTCGTGTACTATATTGGTATATCATTCATAATATAATTATTACAAAGAATATAACTATTTTATCACTAGTTATGCCCATCATTGTCGCGTTTTAGATTCCACGATATTGTATATACGTATATACAGTGCAGTAAAATATATTATACACTCACAGCTATTATTCATGTCACCACGAATTGTTCTTTCTGCTTACAGTTCGTTGCTGAAGCAGTTGGGTCACCGTAAAATTTCCCGAAACGAAACACTATGCAGTACATTCATGGTTATGACACCATCTGTAATGATGTATAGGACATTTTTTAAACAATTTTTTACGTAACCTATAGACAAGCTCACGTCTCTAAACAATCTTTTTCAGTAACTTGACACTATATACTATATATATTATAATGTAGTATATCTAGAGGATTTGACAATAATAATTGTTACATTGAAATTAAATCTAAATATACATAAAATACCTCTTGTTAGGCATATTTAGAGTCAAAAAAAAAACGGTAGGTTATGTTAAATCGAGAACATAATGTTGTTATTATTAATAGTCGATGGTAATATTTAATGTGAAAGTAACTCATAATATGCGTTTCCCAATCAGAAAGCATAACATCGACCTACACTTATATGTAGTCTATAGATGTGTATGTGTATACTGTATATGTGTATGTATTTGTGCAAATGGTGATGGATCCGTGAATGTGTTCGCTAATTAAGTATATTTTAAGTATTCGTTTACCGTTCTTTACATTTTTATGCTAATTTTTAATATACGTGTGTGACCATTATCATTTTCATTATTAATTGTAATGCTGAAAAAGAAAATCGAACAATAATTCGTCAAGGAGATTTTTTTTTTATTTTATCTCAGGCTATTATGAAAATAAACTACTTCACGATAATGCTTTTAACTTAAAAATAAAAATTGCTATATTCTTTGTATTAATGGGATTTTATAACATCACATAATCTAAAAATCTATTTCGACAAACGTTGATTTATCATTTCTGTCGCGCAACGCCAACAATAATAATTTATACCATTATCGCACATAGACAAAAATGTCAATTATTTTTACCACTATTCTATTGAAAATGTGCATTTTGTAATGCAGTCAAATGGAAATCCTACGTTATACGTCGTCCACACTTTATAGCTGAAATACAGTTGGATAAGTAAATAATTCTCTTTCTGAAAAATTCTTCAGTGACTCATAATTGACATAACACTCACACACTTCAACTCATGTATATTTATATATTACATTCGACTAAGACTATAACGGGGGTACGGAACAGCTATGTGAACAAGGCATTCATCTGATTTAATAGATACAAACAAATTAGGTGCATATTATTTGTTTTATTATTGTAACAATTATTATTTTATCGGTTGTCCATCTGAGGTGAAAAAAATGTAAAACTTTCAAACTCATCGTTCGGGTTTAGACGACGATGAGAAAGTTACGTACATGGATTCTTGGTACCTGAATAGATTGAAATTGAAATTCTACGTCGTGACGTGACTGCGTGAATTTAAAATATTAATATACGCAAACGCGTAATAATATAAACAGGTATTTACACCTAGTAACAATAATGGTAGAATAACGACAAAAACCGCGGTAAACGAATCAACTCATGCGAAAAACGTGATAGCCCCCCCGACAACAATGTAATGTCCATTATTACGTTTATGATACGACTGCAGCCACCATATAATATCATATTTTATAATATATTATTGTAATGTATAAACTATGGATATTGAAAATTGATTTCCATCGCCGCTGCCGTCTCGACTGTTATTCGATCTTGATACAGTAGTCGTGCCTCATCATCGCAGACCAATAAAGAATAAGAAAAATAACTTTTTACTCATATACGCTACACCTCTTTCCGAGCTACACGTATTAAATTACATTATTATAATAAATGTTAAAGTTTTTGACAAAATTGTTGGTGTGTTTTTTCATCTCGATAAAAATTACATTATGATTGCCCCTTACTATACCAATCGCACAGTTTGAAAATAAACTATATGGGTAAATTGAAGCGGAGTGAAACGAGCGTCATATAAACTGCCCATATACCGTTTCTTAGGTACATTTTTTTTTAAATTTTTTTTTCCAATGATTACTATTATTATTCCGTCGTTTCGTCATCGCGTTTTCATTCGACAGTTCTGTCTTCGTGTACCGCAACAAAAGCGTATATAATCTGTGCTTGACTACGTGGTTGTCGTAGCTACGACACCATCACTATGCGAGTAAATACCACAACAACCGAGTAGCAGGACTATGTTGTTTCTTCCGTAAATGGAAATTATTGTGAACGAGAAAAAACTAAGTGACCTACGACCGACGAAAGGTTGTTTGTTCTAAAATTAAGTATTGTTTCAATCAATACATCATGTTCAAATAAAAATTGTTCTTCAAACATATACGTTTTTGTTACTTATTGATTATTAATTATTAATGAGGGTGATACAAATAAAATTGTGAAGAAAATTTAATTATAAACAATTACTCAAATAATATCTATATTATATTATTTAGTATAGATTTCAGAATATGTTCTGAACAATTAATTTTTTAAAAGCTTAAAACGAAATCAATTTTTTTTTTTTTTGATTCCATATAAATTTTGTTTGCACAAAAACGCACATTCTAGCTCGAAGGTGTGAATTTAATAAATATATATTTCACGGACAATTGAAATACTTATATGATGCCAATATCACAATGTGTACATACGCGTTATCTACCGGCAGATCGAGACACTTATTTTACAAAACAACATTACAGATAGAAATAATGTATCATATAACTTGCTCATCGTGACACATGTGTTCAAAAAAATGTTGTTGAGTGATTTTATTTTTATACTATTTGTTATATTACAGGGCTCTGTGATCTGACCGGAAGTCCTCCGACAATATGGGTGGATCGGAATTGGGTAGTCGACTCCACGGCACCCGTTGGCTCGGTTGTTGCCCGGGTTCGCGTGTCCGATGTCGGCAACGAGACGGTCCTGGTATACGGATTAGAACACTCGACGGGCTTTAACATCGTCCAAGAGAATGAGGACCCATTGCCGTTCACAATTGACGAGAACGGAAAAGTCACCACGAATACATCTCTGACGAACAAGGTACAATAATACACTATTATCATCATTAAAAATAAAATCATTATTCAAAGTGCATACCTAACGTCATAGTACCACTATAATAGAATTGTACGTCGATGCCGATTATCATTTCTTCTTATCGCGATTTAGTAATTACCTATATATGTATATATGTATATATTTATTATAATTTCAATCCGAAATCTTTGAAGTAGAATTTTTTTGTTTCGTTAGCACAATAACCCGCCGTGAACTCACTTATAGGACAGTTTCTCGTATCAACGTCAAAACAAATTTATCGTATCCATCTACTATTACATGTATCCATATGACATATTGCGTGTATCCGGTACCGCATATGTGCATATAGGAATTATAATAACGGCAAATTTATACATAATATTGTATTATAATTTATAATGTACCAAACTACCTACCTACATTATTATTATACTTTGCGTATCGCGATTTGCGACTATTATTATCAACAATTCGACACGTCCAATGACGGGTAGACAATTAGGTATATAGACGTATAACATAATATTATGTAGATAATAACTATTACTCATTTTCGTAAGTTTATTGTGTACCAGAAAATTACGTATTTTACCGTAGGAAGAAGGGGTATATCAATTTCAGATAAATAATAATAAAAATACTAATAATCATATGGCCGGAACACCTATAATAATGATGGAAACATAACTGCGTGGTGATATAATAATAATAATAAGATCTGACGATGATAATAGCAATAGATATACACGAATAATGAAACCAATTAAAAGTTGTACAGTGAAAACACTGAAATTAGAAATAGAATTCAATAAGAATAACAATGATGCATTAAATCATATGCTATATACTTAAATTTTTAGCTTAGAAGTAAAAAAAATCAAAAACATGTACAAGTTATGCATTTATAGCTTGAAGTCAGAACAAAAAACTATAATAATCAAATTCTAATCGAAATATGTTATCAAAAATAATTTACCTATAGTTTTCGATACCTAATCGTCAATCAATAATATTAAAAAAGTTTATTAATGCGATCGCACTAGTTTGCAGTTCAAAAAATAATTAATTGTTTTGATCTATGTTATTAAATAATAAAGATAATAATTTGAAATATGAGAATTTTTAGATTTAGATTTTGTTTTTTGACCGAGAATCATATGTTTGTTGAGTTTTTGTTTTATTTTATCCAAGCTAGAATGGTGAACTGTGAATTACTTCATAAATAATATGTTGATTTCAATAATACCGTGATTACAAAAAATATAAATTGAAAACTTTAAACAGTTATTAAAAGTATGGCGGTAAAATGTGATCTAAAAACTAAGCTCAGTTTAAACGACACACAATTCTAAGCAAATTGATTAAAACAATAATTGTGCCCATAGAAAATTTGATGGTAAGACTATTGGAATAGGAAACGACTTTTAGTATTTTTATATATTGAAAGTGATAAATGAGATATGTTAGGAACGTCCAAAAAGTAATCAAGAAGATATGTAATAAAAGTGAGGTCGACTTTAATTCGACCAGATCTGATAAAATTTATGGAGGATTGAATTGCGACGAGAGTATTCGATTTTTAAGAAGGCAGCCAAGAACTGTTTTGAACTCTCTTTGTATACAAATCATAACTAGTCAAGTCGGATCTATTCGATTATAAAATTAAATTTACTCATGCATAGTTAAAAACTAAACATATTTCATACTATATTTTATAGTAGGTATACTATTAGATTCTTACATTACATATTATGACTATGAATTTCTTTATTTGTGTAATTATTGAATCATTTAACTAATTTTCGAAATAATTTTTTTGATTGTTACACTCAGTTAATATTTATTATTTTGAGAACAATCGATACATAATAATAATATATAATGTTTAATGTACTAATGTACATCAAGTGTTGATAATCAAAACATGGTCATCGGTTAGAGTATGTCGATATCTTCATCTAGTTCACGACCAGACGTTTCACTTACTACAATAATTTTTAGTATTTGACTTACTATTCATATTAAAACTAATCGAAAGGGTTCATAATTATCGTTTCGATTCTCGACTGTTACGCATATATTGGTCTCGAACACGTACGACGTACCTATATAATATAATCCCGCGTTAAACGTAGTCATATAATAATGGTATCGGGTCTAATGTGCTATCATAATAGATGCCTACCTAAACATTCTTGGTCTTATAACATAGATTATAGACTATACCTATTGATGAAACACAATGAACTATCGTATGTCTTTTAGCCTGTACCGTTTCAACATGCGCTGGCAAACCTGAAAAACGTTCAATACAAAAACCCATGATATAATGCAATATTTACCGGTTCACGCGTTGTATACATAATAAATTATAATAACAATAGATCTGTTTTCCTGAGTAAGAAACTCGGTACATCGGTCTTTAACAGTAAATTTTTATAAGTACAACTAAGTGATAATTTTTAATCGTCTAAGTGAACTTTTAATTTACCTATATTACAATAGAATATTATATAGTTTTTTCTTCAGGTTTTGTAGCTTTCTACAACTGTAGTCTATACATTAAGTTTTCATTAATTTCAAAATAAAAATATTGAAAATATATGTAACCAATCATAAATTCCCTTTACCTACCTGATGCGGATGACATTTGATTCTGTTTTATTTCCACAGTTGATCCTCAAATTCAATAAATGCTGGGTAATAATTAATTATGATTTACAAATTTTGAATTTTATTTTTTAAAAAAATCAACTAATTTAATTTTTCCCATTAACTTTTGAAAAAAAATTGTTTGTGATCCACTTATAAATTTATATTTTTTATTATTATTAGAAAACAAAGATAAATGAATATACATGCAAGCATTATCATTTTTTTTTTTATCGATTTATCTACTAAGTATAATCATATAGGGTGTATGATGTAGAAAAATAGTTTATATTGATAGGTACTTAAAATAATTACATATTATGCCAAAGTTTGTGATTATAAAATACTTAAAGTCCATTTAGTAGATACCATTATTTAGACAATAGTTGAAAAATATTATTCTTAAAAAAATTTATATTTAAATAAACAAAACAAAAATTATACTGATAATATATAAACGAATGTACAATGAGCTCAGTTCATAAATAAATAATGTCTTAAGATAAATACAAACTACGTACCCATCACATAAAGTAATGCGATATAAAAGCTTAAAAATCTATAAGTACGTCCAAATTATCCAATTTTTTTACAATTTTTGATTTAAGGATAATTATTTTAGATTTTATTTATTTATATTATATAAAAAAAATTGTTAATCAAAAAGGATATTTTTGTTTTTAATTTTAGCGTCATTTAGCTATTTTTTTTTTCATTTTTTCTAAATCATTTACTTTGTAAAATAATTATTCATACTTTATATTACCTACATACGTAATTTAAACTATTATTTAATAGATTTTATTGACAAATAATAAACTTTAGTGGTTTTTTGGTTTTTGTGATGTAGAACCTAGTGTAATTTATGTAAAAGTTTAACAATATTTTGAGTTACACCTCCCCAAAATATTAGATACTTTTGATATTGATTAATATTTTTCTTTGTTGTGTTATTTCATAGTTTTACGGCTATATGGACAATAATTTTATCAACTAGCACATCATCTTTATTTATATTAAATGGAATAAAGAAAGTATTGTAAACATTTATTAATGGTTTTCTTGAACTCATGAATCAACAAGTTTTTTTAGTTCACTTTCTGACCTGATTATTTGAATCTAACAAATTGACTTTTTTTTAGAATATTATCATAGTTACTTTTTAAACAATAATTTCTCTTCTATTTACGATAGCATTACACAAATGTCAAATATTTTATTATTGGTTTAAAAATATTATAACGACCACTAAAAACGGCTAATTTATCAAAAATGACTAATTCTAATTCTTATAATTATCTATAATATTTTACATGTAGTATACCAATGCTAATACCTCTGTTACATCTATTTTCATTCATTTATCCATTACAGTTTTTGGTATACGTATTAGTATTTGTGTTGGTATTTGCTAACCTTTTAATTCTTAAAATTCCTGAGTAGTTCTGTTGTTACTTATACTCGTATGTCATAATTAAATACATAAATGTATATATTGATAAATATATTTCCATTGTAATGCAAATTAAATTAATTATTGTGTTATAATTACTATAACTATTATAAACATTAAATATTTGCAACTTAAATATAATTCGTCCAATATAGACCTATAATCTACATTCTACATAATAGATCTAAATCGTCTAATCATTTCCCGTGTCGAATCAAATAACTGTCATCGTATGTTTTACTTCCTATTAAAAACCAATTAAAAAAGATCCATTGTTTCATAGTTTTTTCAGGATACCTTGTTCCGTTGATTAAATAACAAATTTATTCATCATGAAACAACGTTTCGAAGTAAACTGGAGTACGTCCTAATTAGAATCCTTAATTAGTTAATTATTAACTAGGTTATTAACGCAGAAAACGTGAATAATTTACAATGATCTTTATATAACCCCGAAATAACTTGGTATATGTACGTTATAAGTTATAATAATAGAATGTACATAATATAATTTATGATTACCTACACTTATACGAAAGCCAAAAGTAGAACACAGTGTTTTTTTTGCGACGTATATAATGTACACCTAAAATAATATGTAACTATACGCATCATTGTTATAACGAGTGTACCTGTTATTGACGTATAAATTAGTGTTTTACTGTAGACATGGTCTTCAAGTACGTGTTTTGATTTTCTGATCGTTAAGTTAAAAAACGATTTCATTTTTAACGTGTTCGAGCCTATTTGGTTGCTCTTAGTTTACTTTAGAAGCACTATAAATATGATTGCATAGTAATATAATATACGTAATTAATCAAACTACTAATAATTACCTATTCTAAACGCGTGTTGAAGACATCGTAAAAAATTCCTTTCAAAACGGTTAATCAAAATATGTAATCTACGATTGATTTATTGGGATTTAAACTTTCTTATTACGATGGTGTCTTTTATGGGAGTGACCACGTATATAATTAACTAAAATATGCATAAATGATGAATTTTAAATTGCACAAGCAATAATTGAAAAATATATTTAAAAAGAATACTTGCATTATAACAGTTTATCTGTGTTAAAGCTAACTATTGTCTATTGTACGTTTTGATTTTGTAATTTTTAGATTTTATGTATATAATATATACCACTATACATAGTTCTAAGTATTAATATATTCCTTCTCGTAAATTAAGATTCGTTCTTAATAAATAATAATTGTATGTTTTTTGTGTTATAGGAGGGAAAAAACATTTATCTGTACGTAACGATTAACGATGGTCACTTGACATCCAAGACACAGGTATGGGCAAAAGTAGAAGGGCCCGGCGGTGGTGGTAGTAGGAATAAGCCAAGTGGTGGAAGACTTCCAACAGACTTTTTATCGTCGCAGTTCCGACCACCGCCCCCGCCGTCAATCCCAATCAATGGGGCTGGAAGCAATTTTCAGGGCGTTGTTTTTACGCCCCCTAACAAACTTCCACCCCCCGGACCGGCCAGGACGATGTCGCCCAGGCCACCGAATAAAGTTCCTACGGTGAAGCCGACGTCTACAGTCATTACCACGCAAAAGACAGTCGTCGCTGATACACCGGTTGCCGAAGCCTCCACATCACCGACAGTAGCCAGTAGCACAGTCGCCTCGACCGTGGTAACCGACACAGAAATGAACTTGGTAACTGGCTCCACTACCACAGAATCTGGATCTAGCACTGTTATTACTGCCACCGCTACTACCGCCCGGTCCAGCGACATAAAAAACGTGACAGAAACAGTGCTCACCCCTCCCACAGTGACAACCCAGCAACCAGTTCAGAATAACTTGGTGTTGGCCCTGGTACCCATAGTGATCGCCACTGTCTTTTTGACTACAGCTGGTGTACTCGCTTGTTTGTTCCGAAAAAGGCTATTTTCCTCCAAAGTCAAGTCTAAAAAAGTCAATTCAATTGTAAGTATAATAATATATACTTGCATTACGATTTAATATTATAACGGTGCAGTACTTGTTTAACAAGATACTGGGCATTAAGCTCAAAATAGCTAAATCTAATTTCGTGCTTATTGCGTAACTCCCACTTAGTAAGTCATTAAATTTCAGTTTAATTTTCAAATTGATAAGATGTCTTTAATACACCTTCATACTCATACAGTTTTTGTGCAGCAAAAAGTATGTTTTTTGTTGGATATTGAAGACTAAATACTTCTACAAATTACAAATCACTGCATTCTTCTCAATTAGATTTTCATATTAAAAAACTTGTGGACAATTTCATTTTTCATTTCATTAAAATGTTGCGATCATTATCTTCAATAGATTTTTAAGATAGAACCCGTTTAATCTAACCAGTGGCTAACCTATTATAATAAATCTAGTGTCAATCATCATAATATATTAGAATGGGTATAACATAGTTTGAAACAAACAATAGCACATAATCACGTCGATGTATGTAATATAATATTATGTATTTATTTTCTTATACTTTTTCCTGCAGGGAAAAAAGAAAAGCTTTAGATCGGACGATCCGATGGTCATGCACCACTGGAGCGGACCACGGGCTTTCACCAGGTATGAGAGCTGGGGATCAGATCCATCGACCCATGGGCAATACACCGGTGGCAAGGAGTCAGCGATCAAAGAAGTCGATCCGTGGGAGATACCCAGACACCACATACGGGTGTGCTCAATACTGGGCGAGGGAAGTTTTGGGCAAGTCTGGAAGTGTGAGGCGTACAATGTCATGGGTAAGAGATGCGTCTAACTTCGCGACTATTACTCTTTAAATGACAACAACTATTACTATAATGATAGTAATAATAATAATAATAATTATTATTATTATAAATACTGTTATCAGCTACGACGATCGTGATGATATCACCTCATCTGCAGTAAAAATTTTGAACACGACTAATATATATTATAATACGTGCGCGTATATTTTTAGGATTCAAGGGCAACATGGTGGTCGCGGTAAAAACGCTCAAGGACAACGCGGGTGAACGAGAACGACTCGACCTGGTACAGGAACTGCAGGTGATGAAATCTTTGGAGCCACATCCGCACGTAGTAAAACTCTTGGGATGTTGTTCAGAAAGAGGTATGTATATTAAAATGTAATATTATGTTTTAGTGACAAAAAGTTGACAAAAAAAAGCTATTTATAAAAAAATAATTATTATTGCACGTAAAATCATCACCTAATTTTTATTTTTATATTTATTTTATTAACTATCTTATAAAAATGTTTTTAGTTATTTAAAACTAATTTAGTAATAGTAATCAAAGCATTAACACAATTCTCAATACTTTTTCACTCATAAAGATTGACAAATAAAACTATTATTATGATATAAATTAATAAATAGCATAATTCATAAATCATAAGACAAAAACAAGTATAATATTATATAAGTTGTTTTAAAATTACAATAAAAAACCTTTAACTGGATACATAATAATATGGTATTTATAATAAGTGAACCGATTCATAATCGTATATCCGATAATGTAAAAACAAAAATTATACATATTACAAAAGCGTATCCAAACTATATTTATTGCAACAACACTAAATATTAATGACAAAGTGTAATATTTTCAATTTTTTTATAGTTATTTTAAAAATATTAGGTATTTTAATTTACTGAAATACGGTTTTCTAAAGCGGCAATATTTTGTTATTACATTTTTTTGTTGAATATTGAGAAAAGGTAGTCCATTCCTATTTCCTAATAATAAAAGTTCAATGTTGCATGTGGCATGTTTTCAAGTAATAAAATATGATTATTTGATATATTTCGTTGATATGTATTTCCCTTTTTCTCGATATATTTTTACCTAGGTATTACAAGCTTGTGCGTTGCCCAAAATGATAAGATTTTATGTTTTATAGTAATAAAATTATTAATAATAATAATAATTATTATTATTATTCATTCGTACTCACCGGATGATGGTTCGAGGATGATAATTTATAACATATCTAAATTTTACATTTTTCGATTTTGTTTCCGCCGCAGACCCCTTGTTCGTCGTCATGGAGTACGCGAAATTGGGCAAACTCCAGAGCGTGTTGCGGAACTCTCGAGGCATAAACTACTACACCAATACTCACGGTCCGAGTTCGTTGACGTCACACGAACTCATTATGTTCTGCTATCAGATCGCCAAAGGAATGGACTTCTTGTCGTCTAAAGGGGTACGTTGAACTTACTGCCTACATATTTATAATATTATATATGTTTTATTGTATATTATACAATGCATAGACGATTGCATGCTGCAATGTTAACGAATACGTTTTGCGCTCCGTAAATTGATATAATATATTATTATGATTCTATTGTAATTGGTACACGAAGCGTTCAGTTCGTAAGCGTGTAGGAAATCTAAAGACGATATAATTAAAGCGTATTTAGAGGAAATTGAAATTCCTTTAAAAGTCGCAAATCTGTAAATAATAATTTAGATACTTAGATATATTTTAATTATTTTATATTGTTTTAAAATATTATGCATCTATGTTTAATACGAATATAAACGCTTTAAAAATAAATTGACTTTTGTTTTTAAAGATAAATATTATTTTTAAACTATTACTGTTATAAAGTGTTTGTCAATGGATAAAAATTTCGATATAAAATATTATGCACTTTTTTATAACTATTGTTTTTTTAAACATAAAACTGTTTACTAATTTAATGCTTAATAATTACCCAAAAAATAATTAATCATTTAAATTATAATAACAATAAACGGTAAAATAATAATATAATGTTAATAATTATAAGATGTAAGTTTTTGTATTTTCACTTATTTTTATTGCACAATCATATTCACACAATAGTTTTCTTAGCCCTAATGGGCTGTATCCCTGATTAGTTAATAGCGTAAATACATAAAAGAGTAATTATGTACCCATACTAACTTACTAATACTAATAAGTAATAACCATTAATTTTCGTAATTTCAATTTAATTACCATGTTGTCATGTTAAAATACTTTAAATACTAATACTTAACATTTTTTTATACAATCTTACAGTATTAAATATGGTATTTCATACTAATATATTTATAAAAATATAAAATACCTACTTCACAAATTGAATGTACTGGCGATAATCAAATTTTTACCATAATAACATTCTTGAGTTACTAAACAAATGTGCTACAGTACGATGGAAAAGAACAAAAAATACTGAATAACCTTAATTTGAGTAAACCTTCCAAAAACGGAACTTTTTACTGTAGAAAAAACGACCAACAGATGAATTTTGATTTATTATATTTTTGTAGTATACTCGTATAGTTTTATCCATAAACAACTGATGATTACTAATATTTAAGAAATTATAGTTAAGTAGTTAACTTGATGTTTTCTCTAATTCTCTGTTAAATTTTACATGATTAATAATTTATACTTTGAAACGGATCCTTCAGCTTTCAATTCATCACTCATAATAATTCTTTCATGTTAAACTATTAAAACAAAAAAATATAACTCGTTGATCAAAAATTCCATATTTCTGTAAATTACATTAGATTTACATCAGCAGTCTAATAATTATAATAAAAATATATTCTCATGAACCGTGAGATAAATAATTTAACCAAAAACTAAATTTTAGAATGAAATTAACACGTGACCTTGAATGTACGTATGTAATGACAATCATATAATATATTTACGGTTTACTTGTTCTATAGAAATAACAAGTTAAAGCATTATTATTAAAGTGGCTCTCGGTTCTATTATAATCACTTTAATAATCTTTATATTATAGCCAATGATGAATAGGTACAATACTGAAAACAATTTTAAAATTATTCACCGAATATACAATATTTGACTATAATGAAAATGTGTATTGTTTAGCAAGAAGAGATGTTGTATTCAATTATTTAATTTTAACGATAATATTTTTTCTATTCGCATCTGTGCGCTCATCGGGTAGGTAATTCTCGTTTATGTGTTAGAGAAAATAATAAAACAAAACTTTTGTATTCCAAGTACAACAATTTTGTTCTGCTGGTGATAGAAATAAATAAAAATAGATAAACGAAAAACATAAAATATTTATCAACTATTACTATTGTACGGTATACCGTATACATGGGTACACTTAAACAACAATTATTTTTCGTGCATCTATACCTATTTAGATCTATAATATAGAGTAAGCTACGATTGGTAGGTACAATACTATTACTGTAGTGTGGAATGGAATGTCGTTCATTGACCGTCGCTTGTTATTACTATTATTTGTGGTTTCGATTCGGATAGCGAAATATTTCTGAAAAATACGCCCGGAATTGTGCAGTTTCGTTTTAGTGCGAAATCATTGGGGGCACACGAGGGCAATAGCCGGTAAAATCGAATCATGCGGTGACGCGACTAATGACATTAAATTAATTCATTAAGGCGGATTCCCACTCGATGGAACTCTAAAACATTGTATACAACATTGTGCAAAAATAAAACCTCGATCCTACCCAAAATCAATGATGTATTAGTAAACCTACGACGATGATGTATGGCAAAACCGATAAACCAAACAGAATTTTTTTCCTGACAAATGATAACTACGTTTACTAGTTGTACCGCCTTCCTAAGACCCCACATACCCACTCCGAACATTACAACAACAATCACAACATATTATTCAAAACAAATTTATGCACGATTGTGTTTTGGCATGATGAGTCTTGCACTCTTGTGAGTATATTTTTTAATATTTGAATCGTATATAAACCGACTCTCGTAATCAACAAATCACGTGGATCATGAATTGTACAACATAATACATGTATAATAGTATTAACACACTCCACGACTCGTTGGTTTGTAATTTATTCATTAGGAAAAAAACCCCATTAATACTAGTGTCCCGGAGAATCGCGGAATATCGAATAACATGAAATATAATTCAACAATACAAATCTAGCATTAGATCGTGATCAAAGAAAATATACCGGCAGTATATTACCCATGATATTTTTTTAAATGGGTGTTCTAAAAGTTTCAAATTTTTTTTACAAAATGTAACAGATTAGAGCACATAGAAATATAATATTAGGTTTTGCCATTCGTATTTTTTCAGTAAAATCACAACCACTTGTTAATTATAACTCGCTCGAATAAGAATAATACGTTGACTCCATCATGCAGGGATTTATTGAAAACGTCATAATCATTATTAAAACAACATAGTTACAATAAATAGTATATGTTTGTTTAAAAAAATAAAAAAAAAATTGAACATTATAAATGTATAATATTATATTATATAACGTTACAAATACGTAGTATCTATAGTATAGCAACACGTATTATACAAAAAATACAATACCGCACAACGAAAAACGACTCGCGTGCAGTTCCGGCACAGTAGTAGGCGACAGACGAGGTGAGACAGACAGTTATTAGTGAGTGGGTAGTGGTAAACGCATGGAAAAAAAAATTACAACAATTCGCGAAATCGTATTTGCATGCGTTCAAAGACCTCGACGTGATTTTGAAGTATATGCACGATATAAAACGCTCGACAACAACTTATATTAACGATTACGCAGTTTATAATTGTGTCTTATAGAATAGTGGCACCGAAATAAACTTTAAATATTGGGGTAAACATTTTCCAAATATACGCCCATTATAAAAACAAATTTTATCGCGACACATGTCAAGTAAAAAAATGAATATATAACATTTGAAGGTATAATATATGTATGCTATACTCATAAGTCATATTAGTTATTTTAATTATCAGTGAAGTACCTATGCTTATAAATATAATGTTTTTAATGAAAATTGAAAATCGTTTTTTAAACGTTTAACTATCGCTTGCTTATTATCTCGATTGTAATGTAATAACTAATAACATATTCGTCAATTCGTCCAGCATTGTATAATATTTAATTATAACGGCGTAGATACCACGAAAATCGCTTTAGTTATATAGGTATTCAAGGTTACATTAAATGTTGTAAGTAATGACTAACGAATATAAATAGTTTAATATTATATACATGCACAGGCGCACAAGAATATATATTTAAAATTTTTCACCATTCCCAGTTCGATTTTAAAGCTTTTCGAAGTCAATAATTCGCAAAAATTTAAAACAATGTTACGATTTTAACCATGAGACTCATCCGCATAGTTCTCGAACGATTCGTTCTATTTTAGAACGCTCAATACTTTTGATTAACCTAAATCAATCTAGTCCGTGATTATGTTCGTTGTATAGTTTTAACAATACGCCCGTGTATTTATCGAATTTTCTCATACAAACTTAGAAATTTATTAATATTAATGAGTCGGAATGTGAAACCTGTTCAACGTTTTAAATGTTTTGATTCCACCTGTAGAGACTTTTTGTCCCACAAAACACATAAGTATTTACTATTTTAATATTTTACGTGATTTTTGACATTTTCTTACTACAGGTGTAACTCAAAAATCATACAATACTTTCCAAAACACGAGCAATTGAGTACTAAAATCCCAGTAGTAGTTTATTTAATTGGTTTTGCTATACTCTTAACATTTAGTATAATAATATAACTGTCAACAATAAAATATAAATGTAAGGTATTCCCTTCAAATCCTAACATTCGCCCGAACGCAAGATAATTATTGACTATACACTCTCCAATCATTCGCGTATTGATGAACACCCAGAATCATCCCCCGTTTTATTTTAAACAGATATCAATAATTTTGTACTTTACTCGGCACCACCACGACCTATTTGCACCTTAAACAGCTTAAAAGCACCCATATACCTGTTATTAGTGGCAGTTTTAAAAGGATTGATGGGAGGGGGGAAGCAATTGTTGGCAACCAGTATTCGGTCTACGTTTTTTAGCAAACACGTAGAGTAATTGGTGGAAATCGTTACCAGCAAGACAACAATTATTATTCACTAGCGCTTTAAATTACAACGATTACGAATGAAACGTGATTGAGTGTACTGGGCGGGGTCTGGTAAGATAACGACAAAAACGTTTTTGTTGCCGGGCACTGATTTCGTTTCCCGCCAATCGCAATTTTTTCCCCTGAACCGCTGCCGCGTCATAACAAACAATAGATACACTCACCACCATCACTTGTAGGTGAATATAGAACGTATTAATAATATATAACACACGCACACGTATTGTTCGCAGATCATACACAGAGACCTGGCGGCCCGGAACATTCTGGTGACGGAGGAACGGGCGTGCAAGATCTCCGACTTCGGATTCGCTCGGGACGTGGCCAGCAGCCGGGTGTACGAGCGGAAGTCCGAGGGGCGGCTGCCCATCCGGTGGATGGCGCCCGAGTCGCTGTTCGACAACCTGTACTCGGCCAAGTCGGATGTCTGGTCGTTCGGCGTGCTGATGTGGGAGATTGTGACGCTCGGCTCGACGCCGTACCCGGGAGTGGCTGCTGCGGACGTCATGAAGCGTATCCGGGACGGTTACAGACTGGACAAGCCGCAACACTGTCGGCGCGAGGTGTACAATATCATGTTCTACTGCTGGGACAAGTGCGCAGACGACCGGCCCGACTTCGCCGAGCTCATGGAGCTACTCGACAAGCTGCTGGTCGATGAGACGGACTACATACAGCTGGATAGGTTCCCGGACAACGCGTACTACAACATCACCACGTGCATAAGTGGCGAACGCCTGTGACAGGTCTCCGCCGCGCCCGACGTCACTTCCGCGCGGCAGACGCACCGGCAGCGACGACGAAACGATTCCGTTCGACCGAGTCGTTTCCGTTAATAGTTATATAATATGATGACATATCATGTAATTACATGTCTACGAGTATTTCGCGTGTCACACGTAAAAAAACAACAAAAATTAATAATATTTAGAAAAAAACACTTGCAAATAGGTGTAAACGTAGCGATAGAAATATTTATTATGATTTGTCGACATCCGGCCCACCCTGTACATATATTTATAATGCAACAATAAAACTGCATGACATTTCGCTTTATACGCAAATGTATCAGTTGTATAAAATTATTAATGTGTGTGTGTGTGTGTGTTTTTTTTTTTTTATTGTCTATAAAAAATTATATTAGCGCTTATTGTATATAAATATATATTAAGATTTTAAAAACTTCGTCGACGTCGTTTGTCTAGTTCACACGATGTACCGTCCCTTCATGTATTGCTCATGTTTTAACAATTATGTACAAAAACGAAATTTGGATAGATTGAAACGAACGCCTATAGAACACGAACATACAATGGGTATTTCGTTGTTGTTTTTATTTTATTTTTTCAAAATAAAAAGAGAAAATCACTAGTCTTTTTTTAAATTTTCGTGCTTACTATTGTAACTATACGTGTAATACCTTATTCATAAATTTATGTCATACTTTTCGAACGGTATTTATTGTGTATAGGTATTATTTACGAATGTTATATTATTCTATGTGAATAGTACCTATGATCATGTATGTTATTACTTATTATTTTAGTATTATACTGATATTTAGTACCAAAAATATATTTATGCATAAATAATTGTATCCATAAATTATAATAATATATAATTGCAAGTACTCGATTTTATAGGGTTTTTTTTTTTTTCATAATTATTATATTGTTATTTTTACTTTATACCCAGTTATTGAATTCACGTTTCTGACGACTGACAATATTAGTGTACCAATAAAATTAAAGAAATCAAGTAAAGTGTTACTATATCTACAAATATTTTCACCGAACATTTAATAATATCAAACACGTACTGTTTTTCTATTGTGTAGCAGAAATACAACCTACACACAAAAACATAATCGACGTGCCTTCTGAATTTAGTGACGCTAAAATTATGTACTTCCGTTCTTTCATCTCGTCGATTTTATTCCTACTCCCAAACAACGAGTATACTGTTTGGTCTCGTTCGGTATTTTATTATTATATTTTTAAATGAAAAAAAAAAAAATTAAACTTAAACGTTCTGAGCGTGACTTTGGTTTATATTAAATGAATCTTGTGTAATTTAAAACTCATGATGCTATTTCAAATTTTACAGTAAAACAGAAAAAAAAATTAAAACATAATGTTATCACAGTGAGTTATGACAAGGTTGTTTTTGTATTCTTAGAGCAGATAATTATACCTGGATGAATAATAAATACTAAAATGTTTATAAATAATTAAATAGCCGGACTCACGCTATAATTACATTCTTTCGTATTATACCTACCTCGAAATATGTTATACGTGTTGTTATTATTATAGCTACATCATAATATATTATGATTACATAATATTGTTAATATTATATGTTTCTTATTAATGTACTACCTAGTATACTTCTTATAGTCATGCATAACGTCCGTGTCCGCTAAGCGACAATTAGTCGATAATCGATATCATCAATGGAATGTGGTTATGCAATATGAAACAACGTACCTACCCCTAACTAGTCGTATAATCACAAAAAAAAAAAAAAAAAGAGGATAATTCAACACTATAGAATCTCTACGATTGATACTTGCTACTTTACTTTTCTTTGATTACACATAGAAGAGACGCAGAGTACGTATTATTCGAGCTGCGATAACTGCAAAATAAATAGAATCGTTTTATTTGATGATGAAATCGTGTTTTCATAATGTGATTAAACCATAAACGTGAGTACGGGGGCAGCAGAGACAGTACGAGTATACGCTGCCCCTGAACTTTTTTTTTGAATTATCACGGCCGTTGAATATTTAATTATAGTCCTCGGTAAATTGTATTTCCATAAAGTTATATTTTTAGAAATTATATGCATTAATTATAATTAAAAATAAAAATACAATATAACATAATATTGTAATTTTATTATTATCATAGTAAAAATCGTAAAAAATCTAAAAATAAATTTGGATTTCTAAAAAGTTCATTTTATATTCAATACAATTTCAATTTGGTACTTATAATAAAAATGTGCAATTATAGACCGAATTTCACGGCAAACCTGGAAAACTGGTCGGATTATCCTTATGTTGCCCCTGGATCGGAGTCTGCGTAAGAAAGACCGTTTAATCCATAGAAATAATACTCAAATTATCTAATTTAATTGACAGTTCTATACTTTGTACGCCGAGGGTTGACACTCCCGGAAATTCATGAGAGTACTTTATAATTTCAAGTTAAAATTAACCAAAAATTCTATTATAAAGATAAGCGAGCTATAATATTAAGTCTTTTTTCTTTTATTTATTGTGTTATAAAAATGTATGCACATTTATTGCTTAAGAATTGTAAATTTGAAATATTCAAAAAAATTTCATAACTCATTTATTCCAATACGACCTTTACTTGTAAGAGTAAATTTATTTGAATGTATCACAAAAAAAAATGTTGCTTCCTCTCGAGTTTTTTCAGTGAAGTTCAGAATTTATCTGAAAGAAAATTAAATTCTGTGGTATAATCACTGCAACAATCACTACTTCGGTATTATATTTAAGTTCCAGTTATTAATCAACATCGAATATTTATGACGTTATATTTAATATTTATGTCTAAAAGTTATATACACGATACATTTAAATTTTTATATATTATATGAGTAAAACAATGGTGAAATTTGCTAAGCTAACATCAACATCAATGGGCCAATGTTGCTTGTAATGAGCTACTCTAATTTTGTATATTTATATTGCTAATTTTATTTTATCTTAAAAATCAACATTTTCAATCCAAACAAAGATATAATTTTACTTAATTTCTTTTTTTTCCCCTTCGAAAAATCATAATAACAAAAAAATGTAATTTATCAAAACCAGTGTAATAATAAAAAAAAAACAAAACAAAAAGCTGATTATCCTAAATACTAAATAATAAATTATTAAGTTAATATTAACATGTAATAATATATTCATAAAAACAAGCTAAAAAAAAAAGATATAGAAGTGGGTACCCGTTTTGCCTTGCATTAATTGTCGAGTGGGTCACTATATAATTTTATAGGTTTGTTAAATTTGAGTTAGATATACAAAAAACTATTCTGAGCGAAAACGGTCTATCAGCCTATATCACATAGTAATATTTTTTTTATATAGCTATTAAAAATTAAAGTCAATTATTTTACTTTCAGTATTATAATAGATTGATGTATTTTTTTCCAAAAATATTGCATTTATTATATTATTAGTATTTAACTATTAAAATAATATAAATTTATATGGTGTATTATCAGCTATTATAAAACTCTCAAAATGTAATAACATCTTTCTATAAATACCATAAATCAATAAAAATAGATTCATAGTACCTACAAATAAAAAAGATAAAATATTAAAAATTAAAACAAATCAAAAATATTATTGTGTATAGTAAAATTCGTGTATAATAATAAAAAATACATAAAATTTTTAGTTCCCACAAATAATATTTTCAAATTATAACAAAATAATTAACACATTATTGTTTAAATAAGTAATTTTGTTCAAACTAGAACTTAAAATGTCTATAAATAATAATTTTCTTCAATGATTTTTTAGATTTTATGGTTCTAATATGAGGAAACTTGTATTACATTTTCAAAACTTTGATACAAAAATAAGTTTTCATGAACTTTTAATTACAAAATCGTTTTTAATTTTTACGATTTTAACTTAAAATGCATACAAAAAAATATGTGCCTATGTATTTTTAATATTTTTATACAAATATAAGAATATATTTAATGGGATACTGTATTCGATTTTCAAGTATTAGCAAATAATTTTTTAATCGACATTTATAAGAAAAAAAATTAAAACAATTTTTTATGTCAATGAATAATTTAAAGAGAATTAAAAAATTTTGAAAATTTTATCATAAAACGAATATGTTTATTTAATTGTTTGATAAAAATTTCTAGTATAAATTGTTATTATTTTCATTTTTTTTTTAATACGATAAAATATTAAACATTGTTCAAGGAGAAATAATTATTGTATGAGTAAATATCGAAGGTTGTAAATATTTTAACTTAAATATTCATAAAAAATTAACTCGGCTTTCTGGTAGAATTTTTTTCGTACAAAGAATATAAATCTAACAAAGAACCTTTCATTGCATTTTTAAATCTTAGGTATAAAAATAAAAATTTATTAATTTCTAACTACAAGAAAATTTACTAATTTTTATGATTTTTTTTTTTTAAAATTTTAACTTTAAGTGTTTAAAAATAATATTATGACTATAGATTCTCGATATATTTTTTTTTTTTTTTGGTAGGTAAATTAATAACTTATAAAGAGCTTTGTATTAAATTTTCAAATGTTTTTACTCGGCAAATAATTTTAAATCAAAATTTATAAAAATATATTGAAAAAAATTAAAAATTTCTTATGGTTATAAATAGCCTAAAATTTTAGAATTTTTAATATAAATAGAAAATAATAATGTAAACATTTGATGAAAATGTAAAGTATCTTTGGTTATTCGTTTTCTAGTCATTTTAAAAGAATAAAATCGATTTTGTTGAAAATTAGATTTGTGTAGTAAAGATTCTTGTTTTTCCTAAATTTTTGTTTGTGTTCCCAATCATAAAAATAATTAATGAACAATGTTTAAGTTTGAATTCTCTAAAGTAAAAATTAGATCCAGTATTGTATCCATAATACCTCTATTTTTTGAAAATTGAAGTATATAGATATTAGATAATCGATAACTTATCCATGAGTACTCATGCAAAAAACAAAACATAGGTACACACACATCATGCAAAATCAAATCAATACATTCATCGCTCTGCTCAGAATCAATAAATAACAATAATAATAATAATAATAATAATAATTTTCAAGTCTTATTAATAATCTAGTTTCTTAAATATTTAAACAAAACAAACTTTTCCTCAATAATAAAAAAATTCAATTCACCAGTGGTGATATCGTGACAAGAACTGATTTTCGTACTATAGAAAAACAATATTTCAGTTGCACCACCCGCATATTTATTAGCTCAAAACTATATTAGGAACTTTGCTCTACATCCCATATCACATAATATTTGAACGAATATAACAAATT